GCACAACTCATCTGTCTCCACAGAGCCCCGTCGCGACCCCTTCCCCCCTCTTAGGCCATTGTGCATATAATTTGTCACTTGCATGGTCTTTATACCAGGAAACCGGTCAGCAGGGCAATCGGCCAGGAATGTCATGAATACACTTGAAGAATTGGGTATAAGTAATTGAAAAGTTACAAAAAATTTAATGTTACATTTTCTAAACCTTTTGTTGGATTAAAATAAACCAGACTTTAATTCAAAGAATATTTAATTTGATTTTCTTTAATTATTTAAAACCCTGACACTACAAGTATATATAATTGTATACATTTATTTAACGCTTATTTAAGAAGACATCATATTTATTAAAATGAGGATAGTGAATCCATCAAGCTAAAAATAATCAAATATGAAATGGACTAAATCGTCTCGCCTGGAAATGGTGAACTTTGAGAAATTAATTAATATTTCTTAATTATTATAAAATATTTATAAGTAACTAAAAAAAATATACTTTTTATTTATGGATGACCTGTGTCAAGCAAACATGGCTAGATCGTTCTTCTGATATATTTAAGGTTTAAAAAATCTGCTTTATTTCATTTAATAGGTTATATTCAATTTTAAATATTTTTAAATAAATCGTTTTAGTTTATATTTATAGAAATATATTAGGCAACCTAAAAAAAACTATATTTAAGCGACAGTGAACTGAGTCAAGAAGAAATGGCTAAAGATTCTCCTGGTGATGGCAGTTAAATAATTTGTTATAATTTGTATCTTTACTTTTAAATATTTCTAAATAATCTTCTAAGTTTATATTTACTCAGAAGCTTGTAAAAATATATTATCATCTCTAAAAAATAAGTATTCAAGATAAAAAAAAACTGTAACTAGCAGTCATGTCTAAACAGTATCGCCTGGTATGGTATAAGTTTAAATATTAGTTTTATCATATTTCAGGTTGTCTATATTTAATATTGCAAAATAAACTTTAGAGAAAAAAAAAAACATTTTCTTGGTAATTTTTTCCAATTGTAATGGTATTTTTTTCAAGTGCACTGACACACTGAGAAGACTATGGCAAAGGCTACCGGACAGGTCATCCTTACGCTCGAAACACACAGCGCACAAGTATAACTGTCAGGATACAGGAGCTGTCGTTTATCACACACGTATGTAAGTATGTGCACATACTTCTGGCACGCATTTACATCCGGCTGTGTGTGTACGTGTGTGTGTGGGCATACCTTTAGTGCTCACTGTATACATATACAGGCATGCGTTTGACTCTGCATAAATGTCAAAGAAGATGTGCCTTTTCAGGCAAACTGTGTGTGTATGTGCATTTGATGTAGAGGATTTCCGTTCAATTGGGCATATTTGATTAACAAATTAAATTTTATACAAATTCGATGACGAAAGGAAATAGTGATTGAACAACGGACATACAAATTGATACACACATGGAATATAAAATATTTGTAGTTAGGAGTTTGTAAATTGTTTGGAATTTGGGAAATTAAAAAAATAATTCCATCATCAGTATTTTGTGTCAGTGAAAACCTTTACACAATAAATTTAAAACTGTTCCTGCATTAAAAATGCTTCTCCTGTTCGTAACATTATTCTCAATTCAACGTTTCGCACGTTGTCATAAATAATAAGAGGAACGCGTGTCAGAATTGCCATTCTAACATACCTTATGCTTTCACCTCCATGTCTCCATAAAATGCAAAAAAAAAAACATAAAATCCAGTCATGTTTTTGTTTTTATTTTTTTTTTTTTTTTGCTGCAACCTGACAAGTGTTAAAATAACATTTGCACTGCATTTTAAATGGCATTTCCAGTGAAGAATTTTTTGGTGTACGACTTGCTTTTATTTTTCCCGTGCAGAACGTTGAAACCAAACAATCAACAAAACGAATTTCCTGCTCCAGGGTTTTTTTCTGGGTTGGAGTTGAAAATGCTACATTTAACTGAGGAAAACATCAAACATGTTAAATAAATGTTCGCTTTAGGGCGGGTGGAGAGCTGTTGAGATTGGATTTTTGACCGTTTCTATTTTTAGGGGCCTATCACAAAACGGAAATCAAATAGAATTCAACCACCCACAAGAAAAAGGCATATTTACATAGAAACAGATATAATATATAGAATTTTACTTTCGCATACAATGGGCAAGGAGCAAGGATCTGCAGCAAAATTCATAGCATACTTTAACGCGCTGTCTACGAGCATATTTAGAATATTGCTTTTAGCTGCGTACAGTAACAATAAGGGTATTAGCATTTTTTCATCGATTTATAAATATTTAAATATATATTTAAATTCTTTATATTATTTTTACAATTTTGTATAAACTACAGAAAGTCCAAGGCTCACCCAGTTCGCCAGAATTAGAACAAAATTATAATTGTACATTTTTTAACATATTTTGTCTAATTTGATTCAAAGCGTTCTTTTATTATTATAGGTGAATTTCGTGTTTTTAGTTTTTATTGAAGTATCGGAATACATATATAATATAAACTGCCAGAGAAATGGGTTGTTAATTTTAGAGATCAGTAAGTATGTTTTCAACAATAAGTTACTATGAACAGAAATCAGTGATTATCTATGACCAATAAGTAACTATATCAGTAAGTACCAATGAACATTAATTAAATATATGGTAAGTAGGTAAATATGATCAGTAAGTATCTATGACCAGTAAGAAAGTGTATGATCCAGTTACTAACTTTGGACACTTATAAACAATGACTTGCAACTTTGTAACAACACATTTCTGAGACCTGGCCGGCAGAAGTCACTTCGTTCCGGGGATGTTAGAACAAGTTGGAATTATTTGCACAGATGTGAGATATTTTTTTGGAACAAATTAAGCTATTTGAATGAAATATGGAGTTATTCTAATATAATTTTACAGTTATAAGTCGGAGCATGGAGAATCGGTGGATTATATATATACATATATATAGCTACATAGGAACAATCGACGATTGTAGAACTATGAGCAGTAATTAACTATGACCACTAATTAACTACGAGCACAAGTAACTATAAGCAGTAACATAAGTAACTCTGAACATAAGTATCTATGACCAGTAATAACTATGATCAGTAATTAACATTGGCAGAAATTAACTATGATCAGTAGTATCTATGACCATAAGTATGTATGAATGAGCAGTTACTAACTTTGAACACTAATAAACAATGACTTGCAACTTTTATAACACAACACTTTCTAAGACCTGGCCGGCAGAAGTCACTTCGTTCCGAGGATGTTGAACAAGTTGCGAATCATATGCACAGATGTGAGAGATTTGTTTTGGAACAAATGTAAGCTATTTGAATGAAACTATGGAGTTATTCTTTTATATAATTTTACTAGTATATAAGTCAATGCATGGCGAATCGGTGGACTATATATATAGATATATATCTATATCTGCCATAGGAACGATCGGAAATTTTTAGATAATTAGATTATAACTTTTCAAGTTTTAAACAGATTTTCAGCAAATTGATACATAGCCATATATATTAATCTAAATTTGTTTAAAATTTTATGAAAATCGGACTATTATATCATATAGCTGCATACAAACGATCGAAAATAAAGGAAATAAAAAATGAAATAAAAAAATTAAAATTAAGAAATACTTTATACTTTATCTAATAACTGGTAAAAAATTGAATTCCTAAGTTCTAACAAAATTTCATAAAAATGCGCAAAAACTGTTATTAAAACAGCTGATAGAGCAAGTTTAAGGTGCTTCTATTTCAATTTCCTTTCCCTTCAAAGCGTAACCTTCTTTTACCTTATTTCCAATATTTATATTTTTTCTAGTTCCAGCAGGGCATGGCAAAATACATAGAGTGTCCTTGGTGTCACATCCTTTTTAACTGTTTCCCTTATACTTTTTTTATGGCGCCCAAGTGAACGCTCCGATGGCCGCCATATGGCAAACGATGTCTGACACTTTTTGATTAAATTACCGTTGACTGTCAATAACAGACACTGACGGTGCACTCATCTCCTTGCAACTTTCACAAGGATTTTTTTTTTTTTTTTTGATATTGTTCAGAAAAATATATATTAATAAAATTATGATTGCAAGTCAATTTAAGGCTTTCGATTCAGCTTTATCCAGTGTTTCTGGATGGTGATGCAACAGCAAAGACATCTTGAGCTGTCAGCAGTTGAGGCTTTAATTGCCTCCATATAAATGATTGATGCCAAAAAACAAAAAACTTTGTCCTTGTTTGACTTGCGTGTAAACATCTTGCTTCGTTTTCCTTTGCTCATGTTTTTTCTGGTAATTTTTTTGTGCTGAACCAAGTTTAATTAAACCTCCATATGGTGTATATTCTGTGGGCGATTTGCCGAAGAGTTGCGAGTGGGCGGTCAGGGATTCTATTTATAGAGTCCGCTGATTAGGAACAGCAGTAAAGTGACAGCGTCAGCACAACAACAACGAAAAAGAGGCGTCCCTGATGTAAATATTAGAAGCCAATATTGAACTGGTTATGTGGCAAAAGTTTGCTTAGTTCGTTTTTTTATTTTCCACTCCTGTTGTTAGGCGACCTGGCTTCATTGATAGATATGACCAATTCTCTTGGCTATTGGCCATGTCAAGGCGATAACCGCTTGACGTAAAACTCGTTAACACGACCTTACTTTGGCAAAGGTTTCAAATTTCATCAGACACAAAAAAAAGACTTAAAAAAAACGAAGGTTCATTAAACACAATGGATTTTTAGGGGATAAGTTTAATTTATTGAATTTAATTCTCTTTTACTTAATCAAAGAATAGAAATTACTTATTAAAATGAGTAAATATTTAATGTCAGGTAGGACAATAGATTTTTCAGACAGGTTCAATTTTTTGGGTATTAAAATGTATTTGTTTAATCTTTTCTTTATTCGTTTTTGTAATTATTACCTTTAAAAATAATAAATTTTCAGTCTCTTTTTAGAAAACCAAGCAATCATTGATATTTACCTATTTTAATTTATAAAATTATATTCCCTAAACAATCAAATACCTTCCAAGTTACTTTTTAGGTTTTTTAAAACCTAAATGGTTTGCTTTTTTAAGTAATATTGCAGAACATCACAAACCCATTAAGATGCCGAATTTTAATGGAGCTATTATAATGCATACAATGGAGTTGATTAAATCGCCGGCAACACTGCGAGAAATTGTGATGACTATAGCCCAAAATACAGAGCTACCACCAGAAGACATTAAAATGCCAGTGAAACAAACTCTGGAAATGGGTTTGCGTTCGGGATTTTTGCAGAAAGCTGAGGGTAAGCTAACTAATAAATTTCTTATATAAATTTTAAATAAATTAATTATTTTTGAAGGTCGCTATTATTTGGAACCCATTACTTTTACCCACCTTATGAGTGAGATACGGGCCTTGGACCCTTCAGATAATATTGAGAAGCTGCAGAGCAAAAAGGTTGAAAAGTCCTTGAAGACAACTCTAAAACTGCCATTAAGAAGATCCCAAGTTCACAGATAATAAAAAATCCTAAGCCCACGAATGAGGGTACTCACAGGAATTCGAATATCAAGCCGAAGGATGATAATTTCAAATCTTCAAATACCTTAACGAAAATGCCATTGATAGACAATATTTCTTTGGGAGTAAACAACAAAACTATATCCGATTCAAAGAAGAAATCAGTGACTTCCTTGGCAATCAAACCAAGGCGTGTTAACAATAAGTAAAAATCAAGATAATGATTTAACAGGACACGGAAGTTTTCAGTAAGCAGTTTAAAAAAAATATATAAAAAATTGTACGTTTTGTTCTATAATCTTAAATATAATAATACGAACTACTTTAACCACAAGTCTGTGTGCATGTCTTTTAAATTCTATAAAATATAATGAGGCTTGAGGTAAAGGTAAATATTTACACTATTTTGTAGCTTAAAATATTATTTACTAACAACCCTGTAACTAAAATTTAAATAACTCCATTTTGTAAGAATTGATTTAATTAGTAAGTTGTAATTGGGAACAAGCCATTACTTGGCATTCCCAATTCCCTTGGCCAATAAGGGAATGCCCTTTGAGAAATGATGTCTCATTTACGCAAGTTGACAAATGTCTCAATTAGCGGAGGACGGAATCCTTGCAATCGAGAGAGCGAGGGTCCTGGCATTTTTCGGGAAGGGAGAGTGTTTGGAGCATTGAGAGACGCCCGACAATGTCGCGACGCTTCCTATTCAATTTGAAAACCAAATGAAGCGTCGCCTCCGCCAAGTGGCAATTTGCTCTGTGCATTGACCATATGGTTGGACACCCACCCAAAAAGGGCGCCCCACGCAATCTGCACCACCCACCACCCACAACGCCACCCACCCCTCCCTCAAAAGGACATCGCAATTGCTAGTGGTCCGCCAGATAGTAACCCATCACCACCTACCACCACGCAACACTCCTTGAATTTTCCCTAAAAAGCTTTAATACACTCGAAAAATATTTCAGAAAATTTAAAAGAAAACTATTAGGAATTATTTTTTTAACCTAAAAACATTAACTTTATCATTTTAGAAAGTTTAAAAACAATTTGTTAAAATATTTAATAAAATTAAATAATATTTAATATGATTATTTGCTTGACTTACTTAGAAATTATATCCAAAAATTTGTGATTTGATTCTCTCTAAAATCCATTTACTTTGTGGTCCTAAAATGTAAATAAATAAATATGTAAATAAATAAATTTATTAACAATTCAATTAAATAATATAAACCACGTCTTAAAAATTGTAACTTAAATTTATAAATTTGTTTAGCAATATTAAAATACATTAATTGATAAAAGTATGTGAGAATTATATGCAAAATATAATTTAATAAATAAAATATAATAAAATATAAAATAAATAAAGAAATCCCATCAATATTTTAACTGATAGTTATTAAATTGTTTCAACAATATTAGTTGCTAAAACTATTTAGAGTTAATACTCTGTAAGATTCCCTTACTTTGTAGGTTTAAAATATATCTAAACATATAAGTATTAGTTCTCATCCTCAAAACTAAATGTTAACTGACCTTTTATTTTATTTTCTAATTTCTATATAATATAATAATATAATAATAATATAATAATATAATAATATAATAATTTTTATATAATATTTATTTTAGTGTTCTTCTGAGTTTATTTTTTTTTTCTCCCCCCTCTCTACTTTTCTTTGACCTTTGCGATGACGTCGGACCGGCTTAGGCTACCTCAAAAAGAGAGAGCAAAACCGACAGAGAGAGATAGCAATGTAAACAGAGAAAGAGAAAGGCGGCAGGGTAAAAGCAAGAGAGCATATAGAAAAAGAGACCGTGAGGGTGAAATTGCCAACGTGGTGAAAAACGATTTCCAACCGAAGAGTGCAACAAATGTTTGAAAGACAACTTCGGGCCAACAAGGTAAATGTTAAGGCACACACGGCGTATGAGTGCTGTGCGCTCGTCCAACGGGTGGTATGCTTGATTTAGGGGGTGGTTGGGTGATTGGGTGGCCTTCTGGTTGGGTGTTCTGGTTTTGGGGCTTTTGAAGCGTGGGCAGCGACAAAGCGGGTGAAGTTATGTCTTGCCCTTTTTTTCGGCATACTGGCATACATAGCGAGCGGCGAATTATTTGTGCGTAGGGATGTGCAGATGTACAAAATGTGCGACTGAATGTGGGTTTTCGCTAGGGTGACTCAACATGATGACAAATTAGTTTGGAAAAGGTAATTTAATTCACGTTTAATTATAAAATACAGAATTTATTCATTGTTTTAAGTCTGCTTAAATTTGTTTAATTGTGAATATAAGATAATGTAATAATAATAATATAAGGTAATGTAGATTAATATATTAGTGTAATTCCTATTAAACATTTTAAATATAGAACAAATAATTTCTTTATTATTGATGTTCAAAGAGCGGATGTTTATGTAATTTTATTTTAATTATTGAAACATTTGAAATATAAAATTAATAGAAAAATCATTAATATGTTATCAAAAAATTATTAATTTGCTTTGATTTTGGTTTTAAACATTTTCATCGATTTTCTTTCAAAGGTGGACTTGATGATCATAATTCGTATGGTCCCTATAAAGAATATAAAATTTAAAGTATTTCTTATTATGAAGTTTTTTATATTGCAGTATTTATGCTAACAATAGAAGTTGCTAATTTATACATAATATTTTTAACAAGTGCACGAAAACTTTTCTTAAATTTCTTATTTCAAATTGTACTTGTCTCTGAAAAAGGGTTAAATTTTAATAAACAATAAATCTAAAAAACTAAAAGAAGTGTTTACTTTTAAACTTGAAATAGAAAAGATGGTGATTTATATAAATATTTGATTAAAATAAAAACAATACTGAAACAATATATATTCAATTTATTTTTATTGAAATATAAAAATAAATCCTGATAACCTGAGTCCCCTAATGGTGAATTATCCCTTATAAGGGACCTTGTTCCGAGATGCGCGCGTGGCCAGACAACGAAATGTCAAAGCAGCCTGCTTATTTTTTGCTCCTTCTCTTTTTTTTGTTGTATCCTACTGTGTACGATTTTTGGTTTAGCTTTTTGGCATATGGTGCTTTGTGGAGAAAATGGGAAGCGAGTGTGTTTCGTTGTGTTGTTGTTCAATGGAAAAGCTGTTTCGCTTATTTCCTTTTTTTATCATTTCTAGGTTTTCTAGTTAAATATTTTGCAACACCGCATCGCATTTCCATGATTAGCAGATAAACATATGTTAAGTTGCAAAACTTTGAGGGGTTGAGTTGGAGAAGTTGGGTTACGCGACAGGAATAGATATATATATATAAATACATATATATATGGAACACTATGGGCTCTGATTGAGCTTTCAAGTGAGCCAAGTTGTAAGGCAGAAAATGTTTGTTTAGGATGCAACAGCTGTTGGGTTAATGTTGGCCAAAAGAGGCCTAAAAAACAACAAGGAAAGTTTGCCTCAAGCAGGAAGAGGACATATTTTAAAGTATTGTTCTAACAAGAGTAAATTTTAATTATTTACCAACACTAACAATTAACAGTGTTGTATAAATGTTACTAAATAAAATAGTAACTTTTATTCAAATAAAGTTTACCTAAAACTGTTATTAAATAGAAATAACACCTTCAATTTTGTGCTTTAAAAAACCTCTTAAACTCTACTTAAAAAGTTTTTAATGTAATACAAAAATAGTCTTACTTTCTTGATAATTTCTATCCTTTTATCTTGTCATTCTCATACCTTTAACCCATCCATTTTCATTTCCTTTTTGCTAAGAATATTCTGCCTGCTCTTAATTGAATTAACTTTAATGAACCAAATTATAATTGCAAATAAATTATCTCATTTAAGACGCACAACATTTTCGCACTTTTGCCGTTAGTGTGTAACGCTGAGACCCGAAAATGGCGTCAAGGCCAATTAGAAAACTTTGGCCAAAATGGGGCGAAACTGAGACTTATCTTGGGATCTGTTAAGAGCCCATTTTCCCCAAAGTCTCGCCCTGTCTCCCTGTTTCTCTCTTTCTCTTTCTTTCTGTCTGTTTTCAAGATAGCGAACTAGCATATGCCAAAGTAAAAAGCTTACCAAAGTCAAACTCGATTAAAAATGCATAAACGCAATTAAAAGCAAATGGAAATCGAACGAAACTCGCAAAAAGCTTTGAATGAGAAACGCCTCGAGGTGGAAAGGCAAGAGAGATTACACTTGGAAAAAAATATATATAAGAATACAATATAAATTGATATGAATATATTGTTTAACTATATTTCAAAGTTAGCTGAATGTACTTTTCTACATTTAAAGTTATTTAACATAACACAAAAATTTGTTTAAATTTTTATCAGGAATAATAAAAGATTTAACGAACTTTATATTTAACAAATAAATAATATTAAATGCAAACTATTCACTCAATAAACAAATTTTTGGAATTCCAAGTATCCTACCAAAAAAGTATTGCCTACATCTTGGCGTTGGGATATTAGAGTTTTTTTTTCTGACGGAAAGCAATGAAAATCCATGTTGTTAATAATTTCCTACAATATTGTTATGTATTTTTTTAGAATATATGTATATAAAAAATATTTTTCTTTAATTTTTCTGTGATTTTTAATTTTTTTGCGTGCACCAAAACCAAAATACTAAACGATATAAAAACGCAGATAGTAGAAGTGCAGCAGGACAGTGGTCAAGGGGTGGCGAAGGTGGTCAGGGAGACATACGGTGGGTGTTGGGCGGTGGAAAGTGTTGGTTCGGAGGTGGTAAGATATTCAAAAGGCGCGACAAGTGGCGACTAAGCTTTGTTTGGTGCAAAGAGAGCAGCGGAATGCGAAATGAGAAAAGCAAAGCAAGCGAGAAGCCAAAATAAAACAATAAAAATAAAAACCGAAAAGGCAATAAAATACAACGTTTATGCAGGATTTTGACGATTTGCAAATGTAATTATATTTTAAGTAATTGCTTTAATCACCTTTAAATTTGACTAATAAAAATGTGCCAAGATTTAGGACTAGGCAATAAATTATTTTTTTTAGATATTTTTAAGTAAACATAAATAACAAAAAAAAAAATAATAAAAAAAATAAAAAATTAAACAAATCAATGAATAAACTTTATAATTTTGGTTATTATTTTTTTTAGATATTTTAAGTAAACATAAATAACAAAAAAATAAAATAATAATAAAATAAAATATTAAAAAATTATAACAAAACAATTGAATTATAGAACTTATATAATTTTGGGTAATTAAATAAAAATAAATAAATA